GAACCTCCTCATCCAAGTCCTCCATCACAGGTAGTGACTATATTGTATTTCAGTGTATATACAAGGCTTTTAAAATTTTAGGCACTTTATAGATACAATGAAGATGACAATGACAAAAATAAGAAATGGATCAGATGAAATATCTTATCCAGTATTCTGTACTGACCAACCAGAACCAGAACATGAAGACATGTGGACAGTGGCTTGAATGTTGGGCTATGACTGAGAAGACCTGAGTTCAAATCTTTGGTTACCCATGAGCTTTACAGGATGTTTTTTTGTTAGTGTAGCTTATCTTTATGGATTGTTGTGAGACTAAACAAGTTGTCCTCATATATGCCTAAAGCTTTTAGAGATTGGTAATTCAAGGGAGTATAAATAACAAACTACATACTTTAAAAACCCTTTTGCATTTGCATCCTGAACACCAGACTGTAACCATGAGGTATGTGCTGTGACATCTTGTCCCATTCTCTATGCTGACTGATTTGTGCTCTTTCCATAGACATGCAAGGCAATGACTGAACTGTATTAACACTGGGTAGACTTCAATCAAGATGACTCCAAGCCTTCTATGGTCAACTAACTTACATTTGTCTTATGTCAACAAATACATGCACTTTTACAATTCAACTGAAGAGGTATGCAGCATTGCATTTAGTGGTATATATTTCCAGGTATGTGCTATAAGACTACAGTCTTAATTGCATGTTTAACTCTCATTCTATAGTAAAAAGGAATACTTAAGATTGCCCAAACTGAGTTAGGCTGTTTCTACAAGTTAAACAGATTTGGTATTATACAATCATCATTTTAGATGTATCAGCTGCTTGATGAGTTTCACAGATTAAAGAAAATGAGCTAAACTGCTTCTGATGATTAGTTCTAAGGAAATTAATGCTTTCTCACCTCTGCTAAGGTGAACTTGATTTTACTTTCAGATCTTTGCTGCTAATGTATGTTGGGAAACATTCTTAGCTGAGTCCTTTGTGCTCTACCCACAAACTGAGAATAAACAGTGAATCCCAGAAATATATTCAGTTTTTTTCCTTAGGATGTCAACCACACTTGGAATATAACAACGTTAACATTAAAATGCAAAGATGAAAGTATATTTTTCAACAGGCCAGATCATTATTGCTTAGACAGAGCATATGGCCCTACTTTTGGAAACGAAATCCCAAACCTAAGTCTTTCTATGAATTCTTTGTTTTGGATCATATCCAACTTCTAGAATAAGTTGCACTAAATTTTTAGGTTTAGAAATAGATGCTTCACAAGACCAGGTCCTAGGAGTTTAAACCCAGATTTCCTCCTGAATAAGAGTAGCTGATTTAATTGTCACTAAAGGCAGGTGGTGGCATTTTAAACTTCTATGAGCAATAGAAGGAATATGTTTTAGAAGTATGATTTCTGTGGGGCAGCCAGGAGCAACAGGATGAAATAATGTTGCATAAATGGGCATTGTATGAATTTGGGCAGGCATGTTGGGGGGGACTTAGGTTGTTTTTTTCCCAAGTATCTGATGTAAAACATATTGTTTTAGTTTAGCTGCACACTGAAAAACAAAAGAAAAAAGTACTTTCATTTCTCAGCACTTTGCAGCACAATTTTGTGATCAAAATGCCTGGATAGAGCAGAATATAAATGAGATGAGATTTAATTTCACTCTTTAATTAACCATGATCTTACCTGATTAAGTGAATCCACACTCTGGCCTTTGACCTTTATTAAGGTGACATGCACTACAGATAGAGGATTCTTATTAATATCTGTGGAGGGCAAAGAGAGAGGAAAGGACATTCAGTGAAAGCTGAAAATGAAGGTGTGTCCTGAAGTTTCCAGAGGCAGAGCAGGAGTCAGATGTCCTCATACTTAGAGCAAACACACTGAAATCAATGCAATCTTAGTCAAAAGAAATGACTCCATTCAAAGGATGATAACATCTGGGCTGCCAGGGTGAGATACTATGATTGCTCAAGCAAGTCAGCCAGAACTGGAATTTCTGAAGACTTATTTCTTGCAGAGGAGCACCATAGGAAGAGATTGTGGATGTCCCATTAAAGAACTGAGCACAGATAAACCTGATTCAAAGCTTGAGTATGTCTATAGGTGGGCCAACTATACTTGGTTTTGGCTGGATTCTGATGCATTGGCTTCATCATTGTTGTTGTTCAGTCGTTAAGTCGTGTCCGACTCTTCGTGACCCCATGAACCATATTGCGCCAGGCCTTCCTGTC